TGGGGGGTGCAGGGACATCACAAGAAGACCAGCAAGGTCAACTGGCCTGGGCTCATGTTAGCTCAGGGAGGCTGGGTCACTAAACAGGCAGCCTGTGTTGGGACTGACCTAGGCCCTCTGCATATGTGTGACAGTTGTGTGGCTTGGTCTTCTTGTGGGACTCCTGGTAGTGGGAATGGGGACTGTCTCTGACTCTTGCTGGCATTTAGGACCCTATTCCTCATGCTGGGTTGCCTTATCTAGCCTTGGTGCAGGGCTCAGTGCTTGGTCTTGCTGCAGCTTGATATGCTATGCTTTGTTGATGTCCTTGGAAATCTTGCCCTTTTCTGGGTAGAGGTGGGGGTGGGAGAGTGGAAAGGAGCAGTGGGAATGGGAGGGTACGTGGAGGAGAGGAGTGGGGTAGGCTGCATTTGGGTTGTAGAATGAATAAATAAATTAAGAGGAAATTTTAAAGAGAAAGAAAAAGAAGAAGAAAAAAAGAATGCAACAGATTTGTAGATCAAAAGGGTTTTGCTTGCTATTTTACACTATACTGATTTTGTTAGGTATTTTACAGTTTTTACCTGAATGTAAACAATTATAACATGAATAGGAAAAAGTATCATGCCAACACAATAGTTACAACAATTAGGACAAAAACTGCATTGCAGAAAGAAAGGAAGAAAGAGCTACATTTATACAAAGTATTTTCTGCTAGACTTGTCCTCTTAAATGCAGTATAAGTGTTGAGATTAGTGAGCTGGTTTTACGTACTGACCATGATGGTACTGTGATTAATGAGGCTTATTTTCCATTTGCTGGTCAGCAATGTAGATAGCTTCTAAGATTTTGTGTATGGGCACACAGACATTGAGAAAGAGCCTTTTCCATTTTCTTGTTTACAAAGAAGTAAACCCGAATTCCTTAGGTGTGAACTATTGAGGAGCTGTGTTATAGCTATGGTTGCCTGAGCCCTGTGCTCAGGGTAGTTTTTACTGAGACAAAGCACTGTGCATAAAATGATCCCTGGAAAGTCCAGTGTTGTGAGGCATGGTCCCTGGGTAGTGACACTATTTTGAGAGTTGAGGAGGTGGGACCTAGCTAGAGGACACAGGCACTAGAGACATGTCTTTGTATTTTCTCCCTCCCTCTTTTCCCCGTCTCCCTCCCTTTCTTCTTCCTTTTCCCCCTTTCCTCTCCTCCCTTTTCTCTCTCTCCTTTACCATTTCCCTCTTCCCTTCTATCCTTCCCCTTCTTGTTCTTCCCTTTTCCTCTCTCCCCTTCCCCCATCTTCTTCCCCCTGTCTTCTCTCCTTTGTTAATTACACTTTCTCCTGCTTTTCATTTTCCTGATTTCATGAAGAACCACCTCCACCACTCTTGCATAAAGTTAATAGAAGTGCCTTAAAAATACTAAACATGGTAGACGTCCTTGGTCGGCACAAGCTGCCAGGTAGGGCTTAGTTTACAAGAATATTTAGATTGATTTTCACTTTGTCCTATACTTTGTAATAGAAAAGAGAAAAGCACCAAGTTACTTCTGTGAAGTCCCATCCCCCCCATTTTTTTTTTTTTTTTTTTGGCTTTTCAAAAAAATACAGGGTTTCTCTATGGCTTTGGAGGCTGTCCTGGAACTAGCTCTTGTAGACCAGCCTGGCCTTGAACTCACAGAGGTCCTCCTGCCTCTGCCTCCTAAGTGCTGGGATTAAAGGCGTGCACCACACCGCCCGGCTGAAATCCCACTCTTAAGTGAAACCAAAAAGTAGTATGTTTCTTACAAAACTGTCCTTTAACTCACAGAGATCTCTTGCCTCTGCCTCCCAAGTGCTGAGATTAATCAGATATCTTTTGGCATAATTTTAAAGTGAGTTTCCTATATTTACAGATTTCAGAATTACACCAACTTCCATTATGGTAAAGAGGATTGGGGGCAGCAGTGACAGTGTCTGGGTAATGAGAGGAAACCACTGATATTTAATAATCTTTGCTTTCATCAGGATCATTCTAGTCACATTTCCTCAGATAGTAAAGTACAGATCACTCCTTTCTTGCTGTCACTTTTATTATCATTTGAAAATCAGCTCTCATTTTGTACCCAGATTGACCTCACACTTGTCATTAAGCTGGATCTTCAGTCTAATTGTACCTTTGCTTTCTAAGGGTTAGCACTCTAGTTAAGGCCACCCAACTCATATATATTTCTGAAAATGTGTACTTTTCAGATAAAACAGATGATCAAGTTTAAATAACTATTTCATTTCTTAAACCTTGCATGTCCATCTGTAGTGATTTTCATTTGTAGGGCATTTTTCCTTGACCTCATTAAATATATTCTACAGTTCATCAGTGACCTTCTTGGTAGTATGCTGTGTTGTAACTTTTCTGGACCATTGATTTGCCAGTTTTTCTCTATCTGTATTTAAATTCTTTTTTGTTACAGAAATTTAACTTAGAAATTAAACCTTAATTTAGAAATGTAAACCTTTAAATATGTTTGTTTCCTCTTTATACATTCCTGAACATTTCATATCTGCATACCTTTATCTTTTAAGAGAAAAGTCTCATAATTTCACCTCTTTTGACTGCCTAGGGTGACCATTGGTCTTGGTTCAAGATAATCCCAGTTTCTTCTTGATTGTGTAGGTTGCCTTTTAATTAAAAATTACGCAATTTAAATCGGCAGTTTTATCACCCACAGTTTCTGTGTCATATTCTTTGACAGGACAGCCTGGTCTACAGAGTGAGTTCCAGGACAGCCAGGGCTGCACAGAGAAACCTTGTCTCAAATCACCCCCCCTCAAAAAACAAAACAAACAAACAAACAAAAAATATACTTAAAACATAGTATAAAATGAGTAACATCCCAAAGAGGATCAGCTCATTAATATGAAAATAATATGACTAAGGATATGAAATGTAGGGTCAGAACAGGAAAGTCTCAGGAAAACTGCTTAGAATCTTAAATCTTGCCCTTCTCAGTTCCTCCTATCTGTTGTTATTTAACTATCCCCTCTTTCCACTGATGCTGTTCTAACAAGACAACCCAGCCTACCAAATGACTGAACACCAGATGGCTGAATTAATCTTTATGAAGTTTAGCCTTCCTGCAACATTTGGTTCTGTGCACTACTGCTTTCCTCATCTTCCTTGACCTTTACAAGCACTATACCATGAGCATTTTTCTTTATCTCTGATGGGATGGCTGTACTGATCTTCCTCCTCACTCCTTTCTTAGCAGTTTGACTGTTATGATTCCCACTATTTTCCTAATTTAGGCTCTAGTATTCATTATTTCATCTGTATTCTTGCAGTTTTCTGCTCCACTTTCAGGGTCCCCTTTCCTTTTCTCCCATTTATCTGTCTAAATCCTTTACCTTGTGTCTGCCTGATTCAAATTCAAGCACCCTGAGAGCTTCTAGACAAAACAACTCACCTGTTCAGTTTGTGGCCAGTCATATTCTCATTATTGTTAACCATGTGTAGGATTACAGTGTTGCTCAGAAGTCTTACTATTTCTGATCAGCATAATTTCCTCCCAGCAAGCACCATACTCCTTTTTACTCTCCTCTTTCCAGTCTAATGCAAGAGTTACTCTTTGTTCTGACTTTGATACTAGGCAAAGTCTGAGAAGCCAGTTCTTGAGCTAATTCTTTAAACAGTATTCACTCCACCACTTCCTCAAATGCCTGTAATTTCCTCTCCACCTCAAACTGCATCAGAGTGCAAACATGTTCACGTTTCCTTTCTTAGTAACAAAATACCCATCACTCTTAATTCTCAACTCCTTTCTTTTCTTGACAGTTGACTTTTCTTCTTCAGTCCTGTGCAATCTTGTCTGCTGTTCTCTTTATTCCTTAGAACTTTCCTTGCCATAATCACCAACGGCAATTCCAAAGCTGGTGAATGCTTTTTAATTACTGCCATTGTACTCCTTCCTTAAAACATTTCTCTCTGTCAGTTCCATGAAGCCACTTCTTTATTTTCAACTTATGTTGGTCTGTTCTGTCATAGTTTTAAAGTACAGTCCTGTGTAATGCAAGCCAGTGTTGTTAAGGATGGATGTCTGTTTTAACTTGATGTGTAGGGTCAGACTTGCATCAGTTTCCAAAAGAGACATTAATCTTTAAAATTATGACACTTAATGTAAAAATAAGTGTCATAAAACACTTAAATAAATAAAAATAAAGGTGCATAAAACAAAATCGGTGTGTTTTTTCCCCAAATATGTGTTGTAAAGTGAAAAATGTACTTTGGCATTTTTTGAGACATCTTGAGACATAAGTAACTGCCCTGACTCACCTAGTATGTCCCTTCCTGGTGTACTTTCATGTTTCCTTGCTCTTTGAGGCAACCACCTTCCAAACTTTGGAGCTGTCAGCTTCCTCCCTATTTCCTCCCCTCTTTCTATTCCTCCTCTCCCTCTATTATTGCGTACACTGAAAGAGGGTAGCAGGCTGGACAGTGACTAGAGTACTACCTGCAGTTTACTTTTCTTTCTTTTTCTAGAGTTTTAAATATTAGCTATTCTTAGATTGAATCTTGCCAGGTTTTAACTTTTATTTAAATGTAAATGGAGTAGCTTTTTGTGTGCCTGTTTTACTCACAATATATCTGTTTTGACCTACAGCAAAACTATTTCTATTTTTATACTTCTGTGTTGCAGAAAAAACAACTTAAAATATTAGTTGACCTTATGTTATCTCTCCATGAGACTTTATTAGTAATTTGTAGTTAAGTATATTTAGTAAGTTAACCCTTTATATAAACTGACTACATCTTATATGTTGATAGTAGCCAATTGTTTTTTAAATTTTTTTTTTTGTAGTTTTACTTTTAATCTAAAAGTCATACCTGTGTAACTTTTAACACCTTGAACCAAATAGTGGCATTTTATATGAAGATCAGGTGTGTGCTCTTCAGTAATAATACAGCATCTGGGTTTATCAGATAAGATTTTTTTCGTTGTAATAATATATGTGGAGTATTTATTAAAGTAACTAAAATGGATTTTTTTTTCCCAAGTTGGCCCTTGCCAGAGTTTGACCCAAGCCAGATTCGCCTGATCGTATATCAAGACTGTGAAAGACGAGGGAGAAATGTATTGTTTGATTCCAGTGTTAAGAGAAAAAATGAGGACACATCAGTATCTGTGAGTATTATTGTTCATTTGTTTGAAATTTAATCTTGGGTATTTTAATAATTCAAGAAAGAATTGATATAATTTCAACTCTGGTAACTTTGTTAGTACAAAACATCTCTAGACTTTTTAAAATTCAAAACCCTTATTTTGAGATTTTTTTCTTTTTCCCCCTTTTATTGAAAATGAACTTTGTTTCTTTTATATCCTGATAATGGTTTCTCCTCCCTCTATTCCTTCCAGTTCCTCCCTACTTCCCCTGCCATCCAGATCTACCCCATTTCTGTCTCTCATTAGCAAAGAGCAAGCTTCTGAGAGATTGTAATATAATATAATAAGATAAAACAAAAATTAACACATTGGGTAGGACAAAACAAACAAACAGAAGGAAAAGAACCCAAGAAAAGGCACAAGAAACAGTTACAGGTGCAGAGATCCACTTATTTGCACACTCAGAAATTCCATAAAAACATTAAACTGGAAGCCATAATATATATGCAAAGGACTTGTTGGGTAGGGATGGAGATACATACATACATACATGCATACATACATACATACATACAAAATAAGATTTTCTTTAAAAGCCCTGACATGACATTATGAGACAAGGAACCTCTAAAGATGTCATTGAGTTCATTTTCTGTTGGCCATCTACTGTTGGGCATTCAGCCTATCCTTAATAATAGTTAGTTTCCCCAATGAGACTCCTTTGGAGAAAACTAAATTTTCATTTGCAAGTGGTTATCAATTGGAGATAGCTCCTGGATTAAGGATGGTGATGTTTTTACTTCTCCTTTCAGCTTTAGGACCCCATCTGGTGCAGACCCATGCAGACCCTGTGCATGCTGCCTCAGTTTCTATGAGTTGATGGTGTTGTTAAATATGACTTAGAACTACTGGGAGCCTTATAGAGAATCTGGTTAGACCTCTTATTGTGCAGTCAGGAAAGCAAGACCTAGAGAAGGGAAAATATTTATCTGATGGTATAAGTCTTCAGTAATGGTAACATACTTTTTTCTGTGCTAAAGTGGGGGCAATAACCTATATCTATCCTTTAAATCTTCCACACCATATTTTGAAATACATTGTTATTAGTTTAGTAGCAATAAGACATTTATTTGGTTGGCCAAGAGAGCCTCATATTGAGTACTGCCTTTACATCATAAGACATAAAGACAAAATGCCCTGGGCCTAGAGTGGGTTTCTCCTTCTCCTTAGGTTGCCACTTTCTACTAACAGTCCAATAATCAAAATACTTGGGAGAAAGTTTTTCCTGTCAATTGAACTTTTTATTGAGAATTACTTTTTTTTTTAATTAGAATTGGGTTCATTTGAGATTTTGCCTTCTGAAAAAAAAACATGAATATGTTTGCCCTTATCTGTCCTTATTTACAAGTGTGTCTTTAGCATTTACTACAATAATAAGTGTTCATCTCTTTTTTGATTGCTAGGTGTTACAGTATTGCACCTAATCATTAAGAATTTTCAACCTTTTGGAGATTGTGCTTTGTTTAGATTGTTTATCTCTTTTCTCACATTTCATAATCTGATGAAAAAGAGCATTGTATAAGTTACTGAAAGTTTTATAGAATACTAAGCATTTGGAGATTTAGCAGCATGTGCCTTCTTAGTTTCCACAAATAGATATCCTATTAGGGCAGGTAGATACTGAACAAATAAATCTACACATAATTCTAAATTGTAAAAGTACTATGAAGAAAGCTTAGAGAATACTTAATAAGATGCCAACAGTAAGCAGCCAACTTTCCATCAATTTGAGTGACCGTCTGCCTTACTATAAAGATACAATAAAAGCTGAAATGTGAAGAAATAACAGTAACAGATTATAAAAACTCTGCAGGGTGATTTGGGAGCTTGGTAAATTGAGGAATTAAAAGAACCCTACCTTGGCTGGAATGATAGCAAATAATATGCAAAGTAATATGCAAATATTATGCAAAGAAGAAGGTGAGTAGAGATAATACAGGTATATAATATTCAGGGCCTTATGAGTTTCTGGGTTAGATGTTTGGATTATCTCCTAAGTACAGAGGGAAATCACTAAAGATATCAAACTTGAATTTTAAAAAGTCACCTTGTCTATTTTATGAAGAGTAGTTGGATATAGTGATCAGGAAAATCAAATGTTTGATGAATCTATCATTTTAGTTTGAATTGCTTATGTGGTAAGATACCTCAAAGTGATAGAAATGAAGATGATCAAAACCTTTGAAATCTAAGAACAACTATAAATATGATCATAAGCACTTCTTTGTATTTAAGCTACTACAAAGCTCAGCAAAAGTTTGTTAAAATTGACAAATTAACATTAACAATACTCTTGCTTTTTTTAGTCCAATATTTACTGAGGTTTTTTTTTGTGTATGGTAATGTTCTACTACATTACAGTGTCTGTCACTTCTTGATTTATCTTGATTAATGTTGCACATTGTGCATTTATTCTGCAGTCTTTTTTTTAAACCTTAACTTGCTCTGTACAGACTGTTTTCCAAATACTCCTGCCCATCTTTTATGAATTGATGCTTCATTATTCTCTCCTGCTCATGTCTTTTCTGTGACCTTTTTTCTTTGCCTACATATATTCATAAAGAGTCATTACCCAACATCAACAAAATTTTAAAAATTTGTTGCATTTTATTTTATTCTGTGTGTAAGTCTGATGACAAGTTTCAGGAATCACCCCTCCCACCATGTGGATTCTGGAGATGAGCAGCAGGCACTTAATACCAACTGAGCCATCTTGTTTGATCCTAACAAAATAATGTTTAACTTTCTCTATGTGCTTTTGCTCAGGTGGAATAACAAAACACTACAGACTAGAAGGCCAGGATAGAGTGTTGGCATGTTGGGTTTTTGTCAGGTTTTCTTCCAGATTGCAGACTGTTGATGTTATGTTACTTCACATATAGCAAAGAGGGTAAAAGCATCATGCTACTCCCATTTATAAGATGCTTCCCCCTTACAATCAAAAAACATTCCAAAGTCCAGACTTCCTAATACCGTCCCATCAGGGATTCATATTTTAATGCTAATTTGGAGGAGACATGGTATTTTTACCCCATAGTCCTTCTCAGTATCTGTTCCTTCTTTATCGCTTCTCTCTGTCTTTTTCTTCCTCTGTTAGGTTGTCCTTGGTGTCTGTTTTTGGTGTTTCTCTCTATCTCTTTTTAACTTCTCCTTTCTAGTGATCTTTCCATGGAGTATCTTGGTCTCTTCTCTTCTCTGGATTTTCCAATAATAATATGTTTGTTGGTCCTATTCCTCAAATGCTATGCACTTACTACTCAACGCTCTTCTCCCCCTCAATGTCTTGTAACTCCTTCCCACTTAGGGTTTCTACTGCTGTGAAGAGACACCATGACCACGGCAACTCTCTCTTTTTTTTTAAGGTTTTATTTATTTGTTACATAGTGTTCTTCCTGCATGTTTGCCCGAACACCAGAAGAGGGCACCAGATCTCACTATAGATGGTTGCGAGCCACCATGTGGTTGCTGGGAATCAAACTCATGACCTCTGGAAGAGCAGCCCATGCTTTCAACCTCTGAGCCATCTCTCTAGCCCAACCACGGCAACTCTTATAAGGGAAAACATTTAATTGGGGCTGGCTTATAGTTCAGAAGTTTAGTCCATTATTATCATCATGGCAGGAAGCAAGGCAGCATGCAGGCAGACATGGTGCTGGAGAAGGAACTGAGAGTTCTTACATCTTGACCCACAGGAAACAGGAAGTGGTCTGAACTAGGCATGCTGGAGCATACGAGACCTCAAAGCCCATCCCCACAGTGGCATACTTCATCCAACAAGACCATACCTCCTAATAGTGCCACTCCCTGTGAGCTTAGGGGGAGCCAATTACATTCAAACTACCACACCATCCTTTTCCAGTTAGTTTCCATACTTGTAATCATTTTTGTTTTTGTGACCTGATGAGTTTCATTAGGGTTACTTATAAGAGCATGGATGAGAGGTTATTTATAAGGTTACTTATAAGAGCATAGATGAGAGGTTATTTATAGGAGCATAGGCACCTTACCAGCAGCTATAGTACTGAAAAAAAGAGTCTCAGCCTGGCTTGACCATGATGGTATATGTCTTTAATCCCAGAGTACTTAGGAGGCAGAAACAGGCAGATCTCTGTGAGTTCAAGGCCAGTGTGCTCTACAGAGCGAGTTCCAGGACAGCCAGAGCAACACCAAGAAACTCTGTTTAAAAAAAAAAAAAAAAAAAAAAAAAAAAAAACAAAAATCCCTCTACTACAATTAAGTGCCTGTAGGTCCTCAGGGACTAGTAGGACCTTATAGGTCCCTCTGTAGTCTCTGATAAGATGTTGACAGGCCTAGTGTTGTGTAGATAATTGCAGCACTCAACTTCGTGTCATGTTAAAAAAAAAAAAATCCCTCAAGACCGATTTGTGTGGCCCAAATATTCTTAGATGTTTGTTCTTCTACTGTGGCATGGTCAACTTAATAGGGGCTTCATTCTTAAAGAAGTGTCTCTCCCTCTGCCAGCAGCTAACAATTGCCAATAACTCTACAGCTAGGGGTAGGATTGTGTGTTCAACTCCCCTCTTCATTCTGGGATTTGTTCTGGCTTAGATTTGCACAGATTTTTGTACGTGCTGTTGTGACTACTTAGGAATTCCTATATGTAGCTGTTCTGCTTTGTTGTTTTTTTGGTTTTTTTTTTTTTTTTTTTTGTTTTTTTTTTTTTTTTTTTTGGTTTTTTTTAGTCATCTAATACCTCTGACTCTTACTCTTTTCTATCCATCTACTGCAATGATCCCCAAACCTTAGGAAGTGCAGTATATATGTTCCCTTTAGAGCTAAACATTAGGCAGTCTCTTACTCGCTTCATCTTGGTCAGTTGTGGATTACTTTGTTAATCACCATCTGTTGCAAATAGAAGTTTCTCAAATGAGATTTGAGAAATGCATTGATCCTTTAGTTTAATGTTAAACCATTAGGAGTCTCAACTTGATAATATGTCCATATAACAGTATAATAGTAGTTGGTTATCCCCTCAAGTCTATGACCTGCTAAGCCATAGGTTTTTGGCTTGATGATAGTGCCAGATGTGGTTTTATCTTGTGGACTGAGACTTAAATCTAACCAGAAAGTGGTTGGTTACTTCCACGATGTTCATGCCACTATTGCACCAGTGCTCATGTCATTCTAGACCAGTCATTCTTGTAAATTGCAAGGTTCCTAGCTGAGAATGATTGATGATTACTTTTCTCCTCTAGTACCTTGCATAACACTTTCTACTACTATGAAAACTAGCTAATATGGCTGAAACTTCTAGGTCTATACTAGCGTAATCTTACCATCTTCTGTGACTTTAGATGAGTTGTTTTTAGCAATAGGATTTTACTATGTAGTTCTAGAAGGTAACAAAGAGCAGTGGCAATAGCCTGTAATGTTTGGAGATCTATGGAACCTCCCTAGAAACAACTCCAAAAGGGGAAACCCATTCCTGGCAATGTTCTTTTTATTTAAGCCACTGATGTCTAAGGGTATTGTTGCCTTTTATGCCTTAACTCATTTTAACAGACACACTCTCTGTCTGTCTCTGACTCTGTCTCTTTCCCTCACCATCTCTCTCCATTTCTGTCTCTCTCTGTCTCTGTCTCTGTCTGTCTGTATCTCTCTCCCCTCTCTCTCTCTCTCTCTCTCTCTCTCTCTCTCTCTCTCTCTCTCTCTCGTGTGTGTGTGTGTGTGTGTGTGTGTGTGTGTGTGTGTATTTTAGGAAGATTTACAATAGTAGGTTTCTACATGTCTTTTTTGGATGGTCTTTAGTGTTCCCTCCCCATGCTCCCTCTTCTATCTTACTTTCCACTTCCTGACTCCAGTTTAATCCTTCCTATTCCTTCATTC